GATGTCGCATGGAGGCAGCAACAAAAGCAGAAGCAGAAGCAGAAGCAACATTATCTGCCTGGTGCTCCCTCTGTTTTGCTGGCCTTTTTGGTGTTACTTTCGGCTTTTATGCCCCAAACCGGCTGTCCGGCAATTGGGCATTTACTTTTTCTGTACGCTGCGATATATACATATACTGGTATATATTTTTTGGCAACACAATTGTCCGGTGCCTGCCGCTTGGGCGGCTTTAAATGAAAAGCAAAAGTTGTTACGATTCGCTGGAGTTGCCGGTTGCCTTAAGCCGCTTCCGCTGTACTTAACCATCCTGCCCCCCAATGTTTTGTCATTGCTGTTGCTCCTGCTCCTGCTTCTGCTCCACCTCCTACTCCAAATCCCCATCCATCCATTAGGGCATCAATCCATCTTCGCGCGCATTAAGCGGAGACAAGGAGCACCAGTGGAAAATGTACAAAAAAATGAAAAAGGGGACCTGCTCTAGTGCAGCGACTCCTTGGCCAGCTCCTCACGCTCACCTGCTCCACCTCAATTGACCCACATTCGGTGGCGGCCACTCGTCCAGTTCGTTTCAGACTGGTCCCATCCAGTCCAGCCGAAGGTCGGTCGGGCGCAGTGCTTTAGCCCTAGATTGGGCATGTCTTTGAATGTTTACTTAACGACCAGTGCCGCATCTGCACTGCGAGAAAATGGTACAAATGATAAGGAACACAACATGAATTGAGAATGCAAAGGCTTCTCTTCTTTAGTTACACTTGTTACCTAATAACATTGCTAATTGTGTGCAAAACATACTTTAAATACATGAATGGGAATTTCACATTGTATAAAAACAGTAATCCAAAGCAACCTGATTAGGTTTCCCATTTCTCTCTCTGCACCGCGGCGATTGGCATTTGAATTTTTATGGCCCATCCGCTGCTCCACATTCACCCATCAGATACATTTAGTGATTTTAATTAACTAAAACCCAGCCAACAAAATCGACGCGACGCCTGCAGACTGTCTGGCCACTTTTATGGAGCGTTTGTGCAGTTTCATTCGATGGTTAGTCATTTGCTACAGGTTTTGGCCGATTCTCCAGCAGATGTAACCCTATCTAACGCCCAAAGATATCTGGCAAAAAGCGTTGGCGTTGGGCGTGGAAGGTCGGCCCTTGGGGCTTTTTTTTATGTAGTGAAACAAATACAAATACAAATACAGCAAACAAAGTCAACGACTTTCGAAAATCTTGCCGCTACGACCTTCAATCCATAGAGACGAAATGGGTCTGCTAATTGCTTGTAGTTGCAACTTTCATTTCGATTCGCTTTGGAAATTCGGCATGTGGTGGGTTTTTTTTGTTTTGTTTTTTGGCAAGTTGGCACTTGTAGCTTCAATTTAAATCAGCACACGGCTTCATTGAATAACCCAATTAATTGGATTTTCATCCATTTGATTTTTTTTGGCAGCCAAACATACTAAATTTGTTCATGCATTTCTGGTGTGGCGAATATTTAAAGCTGGCTGATGGATTTTTAATCAAAAAGTTGATTCAATTTGCATGTTTCAAGTCCGTTTCCCTTCGCTATCTGAATGGTGCGCATCTTTTGACAATTCATTTGAATGCGTGAATATGCCATAACATCGCCCCACTAATTGATTTAGTTCGTAAGCTATTAAATCTCGGAACAAATAAGAGCATTAATGTCTGATATTTGCATCATTTCCTCTCAATTGAATTCAATTATCAGGCGCGAAGGCGCCCAGCAGAAGATGTTTATGTAAACCTATCAAAACTGAGAGAATTTTTATGTACATGCGTGTAAGTGTCGCAGTAAAAATAAAAGCACAAGTATATTGGCCTTTTATGCTGGCAGTGCATCAAATGTATATTTAATGCACTTTCGCAGGCGACTTGAAAAGTGAAGATTCAATTATAGCACATATGCACATATGTATGTGTATAGAACAGAGGCTTAAAAGGCTTAAAAAAGTTTTCAAAATAAAATACTGACTGACACTGTCAATAATTGCATCGTAATTATATTATTGATTGCCATCACACTCGCTGGCTAAAGAAATAAAGCGCTACATTAAGAATAATTTATTAAATTCATGCTTTTGGCCAGTAGCAGCGCATATTTGCCATGACCTAATTGTTAACTGAAATTGATGAGCGGAACCAGTTGCCCGAAATCAGAAAACCGAAGCCAGGTGCATTTCGCGTGTAAATTATGGGCAGGCCGCTTTCAAATTCTGATTGATTAGCATCTCCGAAACTAGGCAAAAATTAGCAATAATTTGTGAGTGGAAAGGGCGAATCCATTGGCCATTTCACGCCCAGCGCACCCAGCAAACCCAAACCAGCACGAGCCATATCTGGATCCAGGGCATGGATGAATCTTTGGGGCACAGTGAATCCATTACCGATTTCGTAAAAGTGGTCATCTTACGTACGAATGCGCCCCGATAAGTGTGCGCAACTTGGTCGTGGATAATTAATGAATTAACACAAACACTTAATTGCTGAAGTGCCGGCGGCGAGGAGCCGTGGTTTCTTGACCCGCGGCGAGTGGAAGCTGCAGAAGGGTCATTCGACCAGGTTGGTTCCGTTCCGGTTTCGGTTTTGGTTTCGGTTTCTGTTTCACTCAAAACTTTGTTAATGAAACTAGCTGTGGAAGCCACCTAAAGTCGAGATAATTGCCGCTTGCAACCGTTGCTGGCTCTCGGCTGTGAAATCCACTCTGAGCTGCCACATGTGATGGGATGTGATGAGTTCCCCCCAGCTCCGCTGTGTCCACAATTATAATTACCATCAGGTCTAATGGCTGCCCAGCACTTTCCTCACTTTCGTTGGCAGATCAATTCGGATTTTCTGGGGTATAAAAGCGGCGGGTCGAGGTTACCGAGCCATCAAACACTGTTTAGCTCTTAGGGTCAAACCAGCAAATAAACCATAAACCAAATCTCAACCTAAGCCAGGCGAAAATGTCGAAGATCGTAAGTCAAAAGAGCAGGAGCAGCTCCCAAGGGATATAATAACAATTCATGTGATTGCAGAACGTCGTCGTACTTGTGGCCATGTCCGTCCTGCTCGCAGTTCAGGCTCGTCCCTCCGATTCCCCGGATGCCCATGCCGAGATCCGGAGCTTTGTCAACGAGCTGAAGCAGGAGGACGGCAGCTACAACTACCAGTTCGAGACGTCCAACGGCATTGCCCAGCAGGAGCAGGGAGTGGGTGGCTACTACGCCAGCGGCTCATCGCAGTACTACACACCCGAGGGCCAGCTCATTCAGTTGACCTACACGGCGGATGAGAACGGCTTCCAGCCGCAGGGCGAGCACCTGCCCACGCCGCATCCCATTCCCGAGGCCATCCTGAAGTCGCTGGAGTACAACCGCAACCACCCGGAGGAGGATGGGGAGTACGAGCACCACGAGCACCACGAGCACCATCAGCATCACCAGGGCCATGGTCAGGAGCAGGGCGCGCAGTATCTGCAGCCAGCCGGAGCGCTGCTCGCGCCCGCCTCGTCGCCAGTGGTGTCCGTGGGTCAGGTCCTGCCCTACGACAGGAAGGTATAAGGCTGCATCCCATCTACTGCATCCGTAGCCGCCGCATCCAGCTCGTTCAGCTGCCCATGTTTCTGCCCGTCTGTTTGCATAGTCAGAACATCCAGCTATACAGTGCCCATCAAACGGCAGAAAGAACATCGGAGCAACTACATCTGGACGCGGCGACACACCATCCCACACACACTGTATATATATGTATAGGGACCATCATACATTTCCATCAACATGCTCCCGGGCTCCTCAAAGGTCCTGCGTCCTGCGTCCTGCGTCCTGCGAGCCCCGGCTCCTCCATTCCGTGTCCGTTGTCGGCTCGACTGACGTTGACATTTATTGCCAGAGATAATAATAATGTAATAAAAGAAAAATACAATTTAATATGCTTGTTTATGCTATGAGTGCCTCTGCCGAGACGAGAGCATATGGCCGTGCCCGGAGCCAGTGCACAGTGAGAAAACATGCCGACTATGCGGGGGATAAATCATATCTGTGGCAAACTGAGTCAAAATGTTTAAAAGGAAAAACGGCTAAGGGGAAGTCCCCTCTTCAATATGAGCAACATGAAAACTAATATACATTTTGCAGAGACTTTAGTGGTATTCCCCTTCGCTAGCTAATGATGGATTTGCTTACAGGTGTGGGAAACCAGTTTTACACCTCAGCGAAACTGATCAGCATGCAATGTGTATAGCTTCACACCTTCGAGCAATACTATTTATAAATAATAATATATAATTTTCATTTAAACACTCATATTTTTCTCTGTGCCAATGCCAACGCATCGCCCACATGCATCATCGCAAAGGCTAACCCCTTGAGATTCTCCTGCAAGTGTGCAGATCTGGCTCAGAATCATCTATATCTAAATTCAGACTGGGGAAAGTTCAATCAGAAATTAATAAATGCACTCTGGTATTTGTTGCTGCTCGGAGGTTGTATTATGCAAATTGGCATTGGTCCTACAGTGTAGTAACTTCAATCATCATTGTTGGGCTGATTAAATTAACAACTCGTATTTGTTGTTGATAATCTCGATGGCGTTTACCATTGTTGGTGTTTGCCGAAGAGCCAGATTCGACTTTGAATTTCATGCATTGAGGTTGTGTCAGCGGTCCACCCAAATTTATGATTTTAGAGGGTATAGCTCAGTTTGGCACTGGATTCACAGGTGTTTTCTGCAGTAGGGCATATAAATAATTATGTGAAAAATAGAAGGAAGCGCACTTCCACCAGCTAAGTAAGCTATAAGCATAGCAGGTATGTGATATCTCAGCTTCATTAAAGGGTGTACAAAAGTCGCTATTGCCCATCAAGGCAACTCCATATCTTGCATTAATGACTGAAAACGTGTGGCCAAAAGCAGTTTATTGGGCGAAATATGGGTCGCTCTGCATGCCCGACTTGTTTGCATATTCGGAGTCTGTGTCTGCATGTTGGCTTTGTCTTTGGCTATCGGATCGGAGCTCTATAAATAGTCAATCAGGGCCCAGAGTGACAGCATTAGCCCCGCGGTCAACAAACCAGCAGCAGCAACATGTACAAGCTCGTAAGTGGATAACAGATTCCGTCTGCATGGATCCAGTGATTTAATTGGACTATTCCATACCAATCCTATACCAGCTCCTCGTCGTCGCCCTTTTCGGATGCGCCCTGGCCGCGCCACTGAACGATGATACCATCACCAAGTTCCTGTCCAACCAGGATACGGACGGCACCTACGCCTACGACATCGAGCAGGCTAGCGGTATCCAGATTAAGGAGCAGGGTCTTGGCGGCCACAATGCTCAAGGATCCTACTCCTACATCTCCCCCGAGGGCACTCCCGTCCAGGTGGTGTACACCGCCGACGAGTTCGGCTTCCACCCACAGTCCAACTTGCTGCCCACTCCACCCCCAATCCCAGAGGAGATCCTGCAGTCCATCCGTTTGATCCAGGAGCATCCCACTCCCGAGGAACTGGCCGATCGTGAAGTTCGCGCCCGCCAGATCTAGAACAGGATTGAAAATAGTAATCTTAAGTTTGCCAAAGTAGTCATCACACGATGTGTTCATCACCCCAGCCATTCGATTAAACAACAGCCAGCTTTTGGTTGGTGTTAATTCCACTTATTTGCGGACTATCTAATTTGCTTGGGAAAGAACTAATTAGTGGGACAATATAATAGATTTAATTCCGGCTGAAGCGCACTTCATACTGAATATTTAACGCCAGTATCATGACATTGCCTTTGGCGAACAGTGGCTCCAAAGTTGCCCAAAATCTATATAAGAAACGAAATCTTTAACTGCGGCTGATTTTCGAAAGTTCCTTATTGTTTGGGATTACAAAACGAAAACTGGGCAACCGAAGATACTTTCTGGGGCAATCTACACAGCTGAAGGCCAAGGTCAACGTGGGCGAAAAGCGAAAACAGAATTTGTTTCAAATAACATGGAAAGTGTAAAGATATTGGGCTAAACTTGTTTGTGGCCAAAACAAGTCTGTGGACTTATTTTGTTGTTTTTAGTTTACCACACGTGCTGAAAGTGAGAAATTGTGTTTTTTAGCTTTGAAATAAAATCGAGACCTCAAATATGTTTCTGGATCTAAGATTGATTACTAAGATTACTCGAGACATACTTGTAGAATGTTTTTAGACTGCCGATGGAAATCTAATGATACTTATCTTTTAATACACATGACTTACTTGAATATTTTCTTATCTAAATATTCATGGCCAACGAACACTGTGCGTTCGCTGCTCATTAACATTTGACATGAGGCAAGTTAATTTCTGCTTTTGGCTGCGATTTTATGGCCGGGAATTGAATGAGTGTCTGCTGGAAATGGAAATTCATTAAGACACTTACATTCAGAGGAGCAGGAGCAGGAGCAGCAGCAGACTCATAAGACACTTGGCTAACACGCACACAGCGCCATTGAAGCGTGATGGTTTTTTGGCGGCGGAAAATGGTGGGAAAATCGAAGGAAAATTGGGGAAAGTCTGGGAAACTGTGCGCGCAGGACTCTCATATCAATTAGGCACGCTCAGCAGCGGATATGAGTAGTTAATTAAAAAGATTGGGACGCGGAAAGAGTTAATATGCGATGTGTGAACTGCTATAAAGTTTAGCATCCTAAAAAGGACGAAGGACGATGCTATAAGAGCTTTTGTTTCGCTCTTCAATTTTCGGTCCTAACGCTTATGCTAATGTCAACCCATTACATCTGTGGATCTGCGGTCACCACTTGAGGCACAGGTGCTTCAGGTGTTCCTGGTGTTCCTGGTGTTCCTGGTGGTGAGGATTCTACTTCTGCGGGGGACAACAGCACAAAGCTGCTGTGTAATCAAAAACTTTTATTTCTGATTTTGCTGAAAGTCTAATTATAAATGCGTTGTGGAAATGTGGCTCTTTTTTTCCGGTCCACCTCGTTTTGGGTCTGAGTCTCCATCCTGAGTATCCTGCTGTTTATTCCCGGCGATTGTCGTTCATGTGCCAAGTCGTAAACGGGAGCCTGTTGGGCTCCGATCTGGTGTTTGTCCTGAATAGCAATAAATTCTTAAATAATGTCGAGATATCAGCGGAATCGTAAAGCGCAGCATATGCATAAACGGTTTGTAAAGTTTAAATAATTGAAACGTGCTCATATGTGCATATATCTTAAAGCGTTTAAGGTTACCACTTTATGTTGTCGATAATCTAAGTAACTCATGTATTTACTCTTCTTCTGTAGTTTAATCAAAAATCAGTTGGGCTCGATTCGTTAAGCCTTTGGGTAATGCGGGTGCAGATAAGCCGGTGCACTTTCCCGGAAAATTTAGCCCGTATATTCAGGCATCAAACAAATGGGCCAATAACCCTAAGCTTAGTTGCCGTGCAATTTAGATTTATGGTCGGTATAAACTATGCACAAAATTAGCTTCTCTGTGCGTCTTTTATTTGGCTATAACTGTATAACCAACTGTAGCGCATTTGGCCCACTTCTTCACTTTTTTTGCTCCAACAAATGGGATAGACAAACAGAACTACCCTTTTGTGACCGTTTCAATGCAAATACGTTTGTGGGAAGAAAGGGATACCTTTTCTATTTGTCGGGATTGCGAGTGGCCACGGGCGGAATTGAGGGGCCATGCCATGTCCATATTTAAGCAGCCAAAAAAATTACTTTGTTTGCAGCTCGGTGAGAACATGGTCACGGCATGTGTCACGTAGCTGCCAAAATATGAGAGCGAGTGCTGGGAAATGACAAGGACCAAGGACTACCAGGACTACCAGGACTCCCTTTTTTCTCCGCGGGAAAGCATAACCCGGAACGGAAGAGTATTTCAATTAGGAAAAAAAACTGAAGCGAGAAAAATGATGATGATCTAGTTCACCATTATCTATATTTAAATTCTGACTGGGGGAAGTTCAATCAGAAATTAATAAATGCACGATTATTATGGTATATGTTGCTGCTCGGAAGGTTGTATTATGCAAATTGGCATTGGCCCTTCGATTCCAAGTTGATGCGCGTCACGAGCTGAAGAAATGTTGTAACTTTAATCATTGAATAAATTAACAAGTTGTATTTGTTGTTGATGATCTCGACGGCGTTGCCCATTGTTGGCGTTTGCCGAAGAGCAAGATTCGACTTGGATTTTGATGCATTGAGTTTTTGGCAGCGCTCCACCCAAGTTCAGGGTTTTAAAGGGTATTTACAGGCGTTTTCTGCTGAATACAAATAGGTGAAGACTCTTTAGCACATGTTTTAAAAATTTAACAAATTTTCTATAATTTAATTTAGCTTTGATTTAGTAATGTTATTGCATATTGATGAAAAGCATGTTGAAAGTATGTAACAGTTAGCAGGCAGCGTTTCCGACTCTATATATATTCTTGATTAGAATCACTAGTCGAGATGATCTGGCCATGTCCGTTTTTGTCCGTCCGTTTTTCCGTCAGTTTGTCCGTCCGTTTTTCAGTGCGTTTGTCCGTCCGTTTTTCCGTTAGTTTGTCCGTGCGTCTGTCCGTCCGTATGAACGATTAGATCTCAGGAACTATAAAAGCTAGTAAGATGAGATAAGGCATGCAGATTCCAGAGACATAAACGCAGTTCAAGTTTGTTACCCTATGTTGCCACGCCTACGCTAACGCCCACAAGCCGAACAAAACAGCCCTCACTTTTAAAAAGTCTGTTGACATATACAAAATATTGAATTAAAATCTTGTTTTTTTTTATTTAATATATTTTTTCTTCCTGAATTTCTACCAATATTCCAGAAAACGTTGAAATTTCTCGTTCGCACTTCCACTAGTTAAGTGTATGATAGCTGGTAAACTATAGCGTTCTCTCTTGCTTAAAATATTTTCCATCCACATATATATATGTCTCCGAAGAAAACAGTAAATTAATTTGCATAATAACCAAACCTTCACCTTCATTACAGGGTGTACAAAAGTCGCTATTACCCCATCAAGGGAACTCCATATCTTGCATTAATGACTGAAAACGTGTGGCCAAAAGCAGTTTATTGGGCGAAATATGGGTCGCTCTGCATGCCCGACTTGTTTGCATATTCGGAGTCTGTGTCTGCATGTTGGCTTTGTCTTTGGCTATCGGATCGGAGCTCTATAAATAGTCAATCAGGGCCCAGAGTGACAGCATTAGCCCCGCGGTCAACAAACCAGCAGCAGCAACATGTACAAGCTCGTAAGTGGATAACAGATTCCGTCTGCATGGATCCAGTGATTTAATTGGACTATTCCATACCAATCCTATACCAGCTCCTCGTCGTCGCCCTTTTCGGATGCGCCCTGGCCGCGCCACTGAACGATGATACCATCACCAAGTTCCTGTCCAACCAGGATACGGACGGCACCTACGCCTACGACATCGAGCAGGCTAGCGGTATCCAGATTAAGGAGCAGGGTCTTGGCGGCCACAATGCTCAAGGATCCTACTCCTACATCTCCCCCGAGGGCACTCCCGTCCAGGTGGTGTACACCGCCGACGAGTTCGGCTTCCACCCACAGTCCAACTTGCTGCCCACTCCACCCCCAATCCCAGAGGAGATCCTGCAGTCCATCCGTTTGATCCAGGAGCATCCCACTCCCGAGGAACTGGCCGATCGTGAAGTTCGCGCCCGCCAGATCTAGAACAGGATTGAAAATAGTAATCTTAAGTTTGCCAAAGTAGTCATCACACGATGTGTTCATCACCCCAGCCATTCGATTAAACAACAGCCAGCTTTTGGTTGGTGTTAATTCCACTTATTTGCGGACTATCTAATTTGCTTGGGAAAGAACTAATTAGTGGGACAATATAATAGATTTAATTCCGGCTGAAGCGCACTTCATACTGAATATTTAACGCCAGTATCATGACATTGCCTTTGGCGAACAGTGGCTCCAAAGTTGCCCAAAATCTATATTTTCGTTTCTTTAACTGCGGCTGATTTTCGAAAGTTCCTTATTGTTTGGGATTACAAATCGAAATCTGGGCAACCGAAGATACTTTCTGGGGCAATCTACACAGCTGAAGGCCAAGGTCAACGTGGGCGAAAAGCGAAAACAGAATTTGTTTCAAATAACATGGAAAGTGTAAAGATATTGGGCTAAACTTGTTTGTGGCCAAAACAAGTCTGTGGACTTACCTTGTTGTTTTCAGTTTACCACACGTGCTGAAAGTGAGAAATTGTGGTAAAAAGCTTTGAAATAAAATCGAGACCTCAAATATGTTTTTATACCCGTTACTCGTAGAGTAATTTAAATTTTGCAATTCGTTTTTTTTATTTCTCTAAAAACTTGAATTTAAAATTTAGATATTCGGTTTATTTTTTTTTTTAACTTTTTTGATGTTAGGATTTGTAGAAATTCAAACAAATTAAGAAATGTCCCAACACTGAAGTTCCAAAGTCCATAACTCAACCTATCTTAATCGGATTTTGAAGTGGCATACCTCTAAATGTTTCTGGAGCAATTCTCTAAAAATCTGCATTTAAATTAAAAAATTTTTTTTTTCTAAATTTTTTTGTAATTTTTCTGATGTGATGTTGTAGAAATTCAAATATGACCTAAGACTGAAGTTCCAAAGTCCATA